AGCCATGCTGGCTGGGGAATTCTGGGAGTTGAAGTCCATGCATCTTCAAGCCGCCAAGGTTGAGAAACATTGCTCTAGGGAAATGGCATCATCTTCTCCTTCATGATCTCCCAGAAAAGGCTTGTTAGAGTTTGTTGGAGGAGGCAGAAAAGTTTCCTTCTGGGCCTACTCATTTAGCAGAGTGACAGCCTGGGAACCTGAGCTTGCCTACTGGAGATAAAATTTTATTTTTAAAGTCTTGGCCAGTTTTTTTTTTTTTTTAAATAATGCTGGGGGGATAAGAGTCCAACTCTGTTGTTTGATGTATCCAGCTCCAAGGACCTGTGCAAAATAGGATCTTCATTTGCAATGGGCAGACCATACAACCACTTCGTTTCATTTTTAACAAATGCCCAAGCTACAGGCTACCTTTTCAAATTCCTAAAATGAACATTGCTGACATGCCAAATGACAGGCTTGCAGTGATCCAGTTTAGGTGGTTGGATGTAGCAGATGAAATTTGCAAATAAATTATCTCCAAATAGATTCCCATCACTGTAGGTGCAACAGCCACTATAATACTGTCTCAACTTTACATAAAGCAACACTAAGACAACTAACCATGTACTTCAATTCCTCGGGGTGCTGGGAAAATACCTGGCGTGGAGCAATGAGCAGAAGAAGAGGGGTGACCAGCCTCTTGAGTTTTCAGTTTATCTAGCTGACTACATTTATTTCCTGTTTCTATTCTTTTTTTTTCTGTACATTTTATAAACACAGTAGACATAATTGCAATGATCTGTAGCAGTATTTCTCAACATCAGCAACTTTAAGATGTGTGGACTTCAACTCCCAGAATTCCCCAACCCATGCTGACTAGGGAATTCTGGGAGTTGAAGTCCACACATCTTAAAGTTGCCAAGGTTGAGAAACACTGAACTAGTGTGACAGAAAAACTTGAGCCATCCAATGGAAACACAAGTAGAAAAATAGCCTTGGAAGCCATTAAGTCCACACATCTTAAAGTTGCCAAGGTTGAGAAACACTGAACTAGTGTGACAGAAAAACTTGAGCCATCCAATGGAAACACAAGTAGAAAAATAGCCTTGGAAGCCATTTTGATCTACAACAACTAGTGGTTAAGGGAGGTACTTTTATGCAACTTTTAGGCAGCCTGTGACCTTCTAAAACTAGGGCCAACATTATGTCAGCAGAGGCAAAATATCTTTTAAAAATGCAAGTTTGGGGACACTAAAACTACTCATCCCTCCCAAAGCTGGAGACAGTGGCTCATTCCCACTCCATTTCATATAGTCTAGCTGTTCCCTTCAAGAAGAGATTCCACCAAATCATGAGTCTAACCACTTCCCATAATGCTACAGAAAAGACTGCAACAGATATTTTAGCTGGCCACGGGGAAAGCAACAGAGGATCCTTTCCAGAAAATATTCTGTTCTCGTTTGGGAGAAGTATACAATGTCGGGTGAGTCAAACCTTTTCGTTAATGAAGCCAAATTTGAAGTGAGTTTTTGAAAAATACTGGGGCACTGATGGAGTCATTAGATAATTTTAAGGAGAATGAGGTCACTGACTGAATACAGGATGAAAAGTATTGTTAGCGAACTTGTCAGCAGCATGTTGTGAACCAGGCATAGCTGAAATGGAAGTGCACAGAAGCAGGGAGGATGGAATGTATTCATGTCTCTTAAAAACGTACTTGCCCCTCATTCGTGTTAATGGCTCTAGGTGTCTTTCAAATAAATTGATCAAATACCCAGCTAAAAAAATTTAAAACATTCACAAACATTTCCAAAAGACCTGGGCAAAAAGGAAAACATTAATCTCACGTCTAAGAAGGCTGGCCTCTACACTACCAGCAGGTTGCTTCACAGTTAGGATAAGCAACAACAACAAAGCAGAATTAGTCTCGGCACCATCTGCAACAGGACTTCTCAGAGTGGGGGACAAGCCACATGAGTCTAAGCCAGTGTTTCTCAGACTTGGCAATTTTAAGATGGGTGGGCTTTGACTCGTAGAATTCCTCAGCCAGCATGGCTGGCTGAGGAATTCTACAAGTCAAAGTCCACCCATCTTAAAGTTGCCAAGTCTGAGAAACATTGGTCTAGGCAGTCCAAGATGTGCCATTACACTTATATCAAGTTATGCACAGTCTATACCTCTTAATGAACAATGACATCTATGAGTTAGTTCTCATACTGAGAGGAATCCCAGTCACTCAGACAGTAAACAGATGTAGAGTACCTTTCCTTCACAAAAGAGGCTAACTACTAGCCTTGTGCACAGAAAAAGCGGAAGGAAACTGAAAAGAGTTTTGCCATCCTTAATTGCACACACATCCACATATTTATGTGGGTGTCTGGTTGTCTCACTTGAAAGTAGGGCATTCATTGGAATTCTTGTGTTGCAACCTCAACCTTAACCTTAACCTTCCTTCTAATGAATGTTAATCAGAGCTCTTTAATTCTTGTTCTTCAGATTGACTGTTTCCAGTTTCGGAGGCAAGGAGCCAATCCTAACAATATCTTCAAGGTTCTAGAGCAGAACACTCACCTTCTACCAGGTAGACAGTGGGCCGCTCTGTGATGAAAAACCTGATTTTTGGAGAGGTGGAACAAAGAAGGAATTCTGAGGGCCTATTTGACCCAAAAGGTGGCGGGGTGGGGGGTGGGGGAGAGTCTTTACTTTAAGCATATCCAAACTTCCTACTTTTCTAAGAACTGTAACTACTAAAAGAGTATAAACATCTGGCCACTCCACCTTTCAACTCCCCTCATCAGTACTCCCCATTTGATGCCAACATCTAACACCATACCTTTCCTGCTACATATATAAATGGAGCATCTAACAGAATTGGTTCCTGTTGTATCATGTTTATCCCTTTTGGTACAGAACTGCAATTAAGCTCCAAGGAACTGTGTAACTGTGGTGAAACAGTAGGGGGAAAAATTGCCAAGGACTCACTTTTTCCGTCTTTGCCTTTCCTTTAACCGAGAGTGGTAGATATCTACGACTGCAATCTTCAAAGCTGTGAAAAGTTCAGTGTCAGGGAGGGTGGGGAGAGAGACCAAAAGAATAAAAATCCTTCATGCAGGGAAAGAATACAACACTGATCTTCCAAATCTCCACAGCAGCTGCCTGTTTTCTTTACAGCGTGGAAAAGGGCACAAGAACGAGCAAACAAGGTGACCCAAATCTTGCTTTCAGACTTTGAAGAAAATCTTTTTCAAGGCACTGCCATATGAGACTCTCTTCCTACCTATACCCTTATGGTCGGGAGCCATTTATGAAGGATGCCCTTCAGTGTGACTGTTGTATGCTCATGAATAGCAGAATCCCACGCACCTGCTGACGTGGCCATGTTCTTCATTTCAGCACTCTACATCCAAGGTCCATTTTAAGGTTTGCTTTTTATGTGCTGTGAGACTTTTCCATACCAAGCTTCTGCTTGTCTGATAGTTGCAAATGTGCGATGCTGTTTTGTTTTATTAGAAACTGTGATTTTATGTTCTATGAGATGAATTTTATAGTGTAATTATGCTGTGAGTTGCTTTGGGAGCGCCTGCCTTGAAGTATAAATAAATCAGACTGAGAAATAAAATAATCCCCTGTAGCGTAAAGATGTTTCGTGCTGTGGAAAACTTATATGAAAATGTCCTAAAATTGCTATTTTTTTTAAAAGGTAACCTAGTGTGAAATATGCATTTTCAAATAATAAGAAAGAAAACCAGCATATTTCCAAGGACTTCAATATTATTGGATACCAAATGGCAGCTCCAGCCAAGTCTGTCTGGGCTTGGAAGCTAAGCAGAGTCCAGCCTGATAAATATCTGGATGGGACACTACCAAGAAACTCTAAGCTGTAACTAGACTAGAATTAAAAAAAAAAAAAAAATCCTGGAAGAAATTACTTGGCAACTACTTCTGTACTGTTGCCACACACACACACACGCACGCACACACACAAAACTACATGGACATGTTCACAAAATCATTACGAATCAAAACTGACTCCAAGGAGATTTTACTACTCTGGGGGTGGAGAAAAGGGGAAATATTCAGGATTTCATCAATGGAAGCAAAACTCACTGTGTAAAAGGTCTGAGTCATCCTCCACAAAATCTATATCTCTTAAATCCCATTCAGCATAATTGTCAAACTCCTGTGGAAAACGGATCAAAAAGAGGAAAAATTGTTCCCAGTTAGCTCTCAGTAACTCTTCATAGAGTTGGAAGGCAGACAAATAACTGAGTATGGCAAGGTTCACAAACATGCTTACTCATGTTTAACCAAGAAACACTGATTAATGAACATGATTTTCTGAATATGTACAAACCAATGAAGCTTAATCGCACAGGCTGGATTCACAAAATACATTTGATTAAAATGCAGCTGGCTAATTTTAAAGAGTGCCCGTGTGCACCTAGCTGCTGAAGCAACTTCTCTTTACAAAAATGTTCACAGAACAAATGGGTCAAAGTGCCAGTTGTACTGAGCAATTCAACTATTTTCTGCTGAGTATGGAGAAAAAAGAACTTTTAAACTTCCAGAGAATCCAACGGGTAGAAAATACTCTGGTTAGATTTCATCTGACCCATCAGTAAAGATACTAAATATTGCAGAAGTGGGTCCATTACTGGAATTTCGGTTTTCTAAATAGTATTTTTTAAATTTCTGATACTAACAAGCCCTATCCTAAAGATTAATAAACTGGCATTAAAGATTTGCACTTTACACTCTTTTGTATTGAATGGCAACCTTGATTGAACAGTCCTTCTTGTCTGACTTGGAAGAGAGCTGTTCGGTTCCAACCTGCTGCAGAATATCTGTCTTCACCACATAATAGTTAACTGTGGGTTATTGCAATGTTACTTAAGAAGTCTTTTACCATGTTTCTTCACGTTTAAGTTGGTGATGGGGAAAGCCCTTTTTGGCTTAGTTCCCATGGTTAAGTTTTACTTTGGACTGTTTTAATTTCTAGCTTGCTGTTATAAGTGGTTTCAGCATTTATAACTGCCTAGAGTTTGTTGGATTTTGTGGGTGTATTTTTAATATTTTGGATTATTGTACTGTTTTAATTATGCTATAATCTGCCTTGGGGGCTCCTGAAACAGAACACTGGGTTGTACATTTCCAAATAAATAAACGTTGTAAGAATACAGGTATGTAATAAAACTAGTAGAAAAAGTAAATTGCCCCCAAACTGGTCTTTAATCTTTCACTATGAGAAAGTAGGACTTTCCCTTGCTAATTAGGAACAGGTTATTAAAAGTAAGTAATATATTTATTTCTTGTCCAGCCCTAACCAGAATGAAATATTAGTCTGGCGAGGGGGGTGAATCCACACAAATTCATTTATCATTTCAGAGAGTCATAGTAGTAAACAGTTGCACTTGCAAATACAGACAGTCCCCAGTTTAAGAAAAAGTTCTGTTCCCAACGTCTGTCCTTAAGTCGATTTTCTATGTAAGCTAGAACAGTATTATTGTATAATACTGTATAAGTAGTATTGTGTAATGAACATGAACCATTGTGTATTCAACTCAAATTTTGCTACAACAGACTCTGTTCTTAACTATGGGTCGTCTGTAACCCAGGCATTCTTAACACGGAGACTACCTGTAATAGATATTTTATATATCTGGTAAAGGACATCACACCAGCTATATCTGGTATGTCTCTTTGCCTTAAGTGTGCTTTACCCTCCCCCTGCTGGTTCTAAGCACTGATTACACTGTGGGTAATTGCTGTGTTTTAACGTTCTACAGTAAGTCCCCAAATTTCATTTTTGTAGCCTTTTCATCAACTGCTCTGGCATTTTTGAGATCAGGAGTTGAGGACAAGGAGAAGTGGAGGAAGTAACATCTCTCTGGCAGGGCAACTGGCTTCTACTACATGACATTGAGTTCAACTGTGGGTAAAGATTAGTACTGTATATAGAGGGGACCATAAGTTGTTGATTTTCCATTATTCATCAAAAAGATTTATATAATGCTCTTCAGCAGAGCTCCAAGGTAGTTCACAGAAGCAAACTTATTAACAGATTATGGTCTAGACCAGAAGTCAAAAATAGCCAAGAAACACATCACCTATTAATGGTAACAGGTGGTCAATAAACTGAAACATTTGTACAATATTATAATAACAATCAGCAGCTCTCATGGAGAAATCATAGAATAATTAGATAAAATTGCCAGGTTTCACCACACATTTCCAGACTCTAAAACAAAATTTGGCAACTTTAAAAGTGACATCAAAATTAGTGGAAGGAATAATGAAATTGCCACTGTGGAGGAATGGATTGTGAAAATGTCAAAATTTGAAGAAATGGCAAAACTGACCTGTTTGGTCAGAGAACAAACAACAAAAAATTTTTTTGAAAGACTGGAAGCCTTATCTGAACTTTTTGCTGAAAGAAGAAAAAAATGAATTGATGATTTATGGATTTGAAGATTAAGACACGATTAAATGAGGGGTGAGGGGATTTGCAAAATGTTTAAGAGGGAGGAGGGACAATAAGATTGTCATTACAGTGGAACCTCGGTTTACGAACTTAATTCGTTCCGTGACTCTGGTCGCACCCCGAACCAAATTTCCCCATAAGGTTCAAT